TCTCCTCGGGTGGAGGTGGGGGGGCAGGGGAGTGATGCTTGTGGTGACTTTGCTCCAGGCTTGTTTCCTTTCCCAGAGGATTGGTTGGTTACAAGTTAACTTCGGGCATATTTCTGTTTAGATTTACTCGTTTTTTAATTAATTAACTTTTTTGTTTTATTAGTTAGTTTTTAGTTTTAGTTATTTAATGTCATAGCTTTAAAGTTACTTGTTGATAATGATTTTATTTTAAAGGTTCGTTTTTTAGTTACTCATTTTCAGTTACTTATAGTTATTTTGTTTTAAGATTTATATTTCCAAATTAGTTATTTGACATATTTTTTTAAATGTATTTTATTGATTTTTTACAGAGAGGAAGGGAGAGGGATAGAGAGTTAGAAACATCGATGAGAGAGAAACATCGATCAGCTGCCTCCTGCACACCCCCTACTGGGTATGTGCCCGCAACCAAGGTACATGCCCTTGACCAGAATCGAACCTGGGACCGTTCAGTCCGCAGGCCGACGCTCTATCCACTGAGCCAAACCAGTTAGGGATTGACATATTTTTCAGAGTAAAATGTTTTTAGTTATTTTAGGGTTTCCTCCTAGTTATTTAGTTTTAAAGTGACTTATGTTCACAGTTGTTTAGTTATTTGGGGTTCTGGGCTTTTTACTTTTACATTTTTGTCATTTAGGTTTTTTTAGTTATTTTGTTTTAAATTATTTCATTTTCTTAGTTATTCCTTTTCAGCTATGTCTTTGCCATTTTAATTTTTTCCTGTTCTGTATTTTTACTCATTTTATCTTCAGAATTATTTACTTTAGAATTTGTCAGTCAGGATCCAATCAACAGAGAGACACCATAGCAGTTCTTTTAAGAGAGAATTTAATATAAAGAATCATTATTCAACTAGTAGAGATTTTTAAGAGAAAAACAACAGTGATAATGAGATGTTATGGCGATTCTAACTGCAAGAAGCAGCTCTCCCCCGAAGGGCTGAGGGAACAAAGGGAAGGATGGGAGGTGGCCCCGAGGCTGGGGTTCCCCTCTGAGGAGAAGGCACTGCCCGATGGGACAGGTGTCCTAGGAGCTGGGTGCAGAGGAGGGGTGCTCCGGCTGGCGCTGCTGCCTCTGAAGGGCTGCGATGAGGCTGGTGTGGAGGTGTTGGGGGAAGGCAGACCGCAGCTGCGGAACCACCATGGCTCTCAGGGTGAAGTCCAGTTGCCAGGGGATGCCAATGGGAACCCAGGCACCCGGGGAGGAGCGTGTCCCCCCCCCCTCCTCTAGCCTCTGATCCGTCTGCCCTGGGGCTGAACCGTTCAGGGAGCAGCTAGCTGGTGAAGGAGGCATGGCGAGTGGCCCAATACCACAGAGCAGAGAACAGAAGCGTAGGCCCGAAGCTAAGAAATCACAGCTAACACCCAGCACGCTGGGCTCTGGAGTTTTGGATTTAGTTAGTTTGGGAATTGTTAGGGTGATCTGATTTTAACTTTTCGCTGGACATGAGGTTTGGCCGAGTCTCCAGTCCCTTGGTTTGTTTCTGGAATGGAGTGGGTAACAAATACGGGGAGGCGCGTTTCCTGTAAGGCTCAAGAAAATCACTTCAGATTTAAGAAAAACAAAAATAAGTGACTCACTTTGCTCATAAAAAAAAGCCGTTTGACTGTGTGGCCAGCAAAGGGCAGAGGCTAAGGGACAGGCTAAGCAAGGAGGGGCTGTGGGCACCATAGGCCTGGACACACAGCTCACTCAGGAAATAGACTTCTTAAAGGCGGGGGAGGGGGCTCCTCTGTGAATGAAGTTTGTGTCACCTTTCCATTTAAATAAATGGAAAAGAATCCAAACCCATTAGATAAAATCCTCCAGCCTCCTTTCACAACTTGTTCAAACCATCCGTGGCTTTACAATGTTGCCTGTTGCCCACTAGAGGGACCCAGAGTTCAACATGTCGCTGAGGCATGGAAATGCAGTCACCCCAAATGCAAGGGCCTTGGCTGAAGCAGTTGCACTAAAAGCGGCCGTGGATCTGTGAAATCCGGCCCGAGACCGAGTCCACACTAAACACCAGCTGTGCATTAGGACATAAATAGAAACAGAGATCCTCTAAACCAGCATTTCCAGAATATATTTTGTAGAATAGGCAGAAGAGTGTAAGAGTTTGACAACAAAATTATCCTATACTAGAGGCCCGGTGCACGAAATTTGTGCACAGAGGGGGTTGTCCCTCAGCCTGACCTGCACTCTCTCGCAATCTGGGACCTCTGGCTCCTAAGTACTCACCTGCCTGCCTGCCCTAACCACTCTGCCTGCCTGCCTGATTCCCCTAACTGCCCTCCCCTGCCGACCTGGTCACCCCTATTAACTTTTTTTTTTATCTTATCCCCTTCACACACAATTGTATTTGACTTCCTTATTGGCTTCTCCCTCTCACACAATTTTTCTCTCTCCTTTATGTAGGACTTTTTCCTACTGACTCATCATTTATAAACTTTTCTTTTCTCCTTATTTTCTACTTCTGTTCCATCATCCTTCTTCCCATCTTTCTCCTACCCTCCCTCCCTCCCCACATTCCTTCTTTCATCTTTACCCCTGCCCTCCCTCCCCTTTTCCTTCCTTCCCACCTTAATTTTTTCTTCACTTCCTCCCTCAGACCTGCTTTGCTCCCTCTGCCATTTCTTCCTTCTTCCCACTCTCCTTTTAAGCTCTACCAGCTCCCCTTTAAAACTTTTCTTCCCTGCCTCTTTCTCTCTCATACATTCTTCTCTACTTACTTCCACTGTTTTAATATCTATCTGCCTAATTATTCACTATCATTTATCTTTTTTCTTTTCTGACTCCTACTTTTAAAATCTGTCCCCAGTACACAACTATACTTGATTTTCATTATAGCTCCTACAGTTCACTCATACATCCTCTTTCCTTCTTTAACTCTGCTCTCTACTGACTCCTTTATAAAGTTCTTCCCTCCCTCCTCCCTTCTTAAAGCGAAGCAGGAGCACCTCCGCCCAGAAGGCCTCAGACCGTCCACCACTCCATCCCAGACCCATGGGCACCTCCCCGCCAATGGCCCACACCAGGGGTCACCACCCTCCTCCCACCCCTCGCAGGGCGCACCTGCCACCCCTCCCGCGTGCAGCTCCGCATTTCCTTCCCTTTTCCATTCCTGAGTCTTTTTCTTGTTCCCTTTCTGTATTTCTGTTTCTCCTCTCGGCCTGTCTGCATGCAGGCCTGCCTTCCTCTCCCTCTCCTTTCTTATCTCCTCCTATTAATCATATCCTATCCCACCCCGGGCCTCTGCAGCTGCCTGAGCAGAGGGCAGGAACGCAGCCTGCTGATCCGGTCGTGATGTGATGCTGTAACGGGTAATTTGCATATTTCTCTTTTATTAGTATCCTATCTAATAAAAGACAAAAAGGGTAATTGACTGTACCTTCGCTACACTTCCCATTGGCTAATCAGGGCGATATGCAAATTAACTGCCAAGAAAGATGGCGGTTAACTGCTAACACAGATGGCGGTTAATTTGCATACGTAGGCGCCAAGCGACGGAGCGAAGCCGGCTGGCCCCAGGCAGAAGCAGCGAGCAAAGGCCAGCGTGGCGAACGAAGAGCAAAGAGGGAAGCCCGCCGCGCCGGCCTTGGCCATGTCCCCAGGGCCCGGGCCCCTCTCAGCGAAGAGCAAAGGCCTGGGTTCCAGGCACCGGAGGAAAACTGGTGCCAGCAGCCAGGGGAAGGGGCCCCCGAGGGCCACCAGACTGCGAGAGGGCACAGGCCGGGCTGAGGGACCCACCTGAGTGCACAAATTTTTGTGCACCGGGCCTCTAGTCTGCACTAATAAAAGAGAAACATGCAAATTGGTGTCACTCCGCTACCCTTCCCATTGGCTAATCAGCATATCCTTATGCAAATTAACTGTCAGCCAAGATGGCGGCCGGCAGCCATGCACTGAAGC